AAGCCAGCTTCCATGAACGAACGCACATGCGTGCTTGTACGACATGCATACGCACATGGCGCCCGGGCCGTCAAGAAAGCAACAACGCCCAATGTGCAGCAGCACCACGGACACAAATGGCGAGGAATTCAAAATCTTGTGGTGTTCTTCTTGTTCACCAGTGGAATCGCCCCAAAAGACGGGAACACAAATCAGGACTGCCACACGACACTCATGAACATCATCAATCGAACGCAAGTCTACAGACCCTTGCGGAAGAACCAAAACATAAGTCCATGCGTCCACGACAAAACAGGGAGCGAAGGACTCGATTGACCACGGTTCTATGTTGGGTACCCGAAGGAACACACTAGGCTGCGCCTGCAAAAATCAACACCTCCAGAACCGCTTCGTAAAAGGGTTGCGTAAACGTCCGTTTCTCTATTCTAACCCCGAGAAAAAAATAGAAAAAATGACCCAGCATTGGAGAGCTACGACGCAACGGGGGCCCGTGCAGCCGCTTCACCAACCAACACAAATAGTTCCAAGTCCTTCTAGTCAAAACCTACGGGAAACGCTTCGCTACTTTGGCAATGCAAAAGTGGGTGGGTGGGTGGGTGGTTTAGTTGAAGGTGTATCCCGCGCCGAGGAGGTCGTTGATCACGTACGGCTTGTTGTTCAGCTCCTCGTGCACCATCAGAGCCAGGATGCCCATCTGTGCCGCGCGCCCGTTGTTCAGCTCGATCGCGCGCTTCGACGCCTGGGTCTCCTCCGACATCGCGTCCCACGAGGACCCGAACGGGTTGCCGCCCAGGGTGAAGTCTCCGGGGAACGAGCCCTCCACGTTCTTCATCACAGCCAGCTCAAGGAAGCCGATGAACGCGAAGATCTGGGCGAGGCCCGCCGGGGGGATCTTAGACAGAGCGGCCACGCCGTTCGGCATGTCCGCGAACGACAGGTTCGCCGAGTTCGAGAGCATGCCGGGGAGCCGGGTGTTCTGCTGGGTCAGGTGACCGGCGATGGCGAGCATAGCAATGCGCCCGTGCTTCACCTCCACGTACCGGAGGCGCTCGAACCGCTCCTGGTCCGCGTCCTCGAGGAGGCCGAGCGGGTCCCAGAATCCGAGGGGGGGCTGCGCGCCGATCTCCGACTCGAACGACATCTTCATGGCCGAGGACGACTTGGCCGGGGTGGCCACGGCGGCACCGTTGAACGCGCTGTGGTGGTTTAATGGGGGTGGGTGGCAACAGGCAAAGGGGAAGGGGACAGAGGAAGGGAAAACAGGGAGAAGGATGAGATATTGAAAATATTCAACTACGTTGAAAAACTGAAACGGTAAAGCAGGCACTGGCGTATCATTGCAACGGTTCACGACTCCCTCTCAACAAGTTCAAGAATATTTCCGAAGGACCTGACGTTCGGTATGAAGTAGACGATGTTGATAGCATACTTCGTAATTTGGTGATCGAGTAACCTTGGGAGAGTTCCGCCGTGATCCACGCACAGAACACAGATTTGTCGCGATTGTTTTCCCGGTCCGTATTGGGGAAGGAAAAGCCTCGGGATCGGAGGATAGGTGTCTATCGGTAACAATGAGTTTCTTCGGTTCAGAGTACAACACGGTCCAATTTTCACAGTGGGGGGGCCTAAGTGCCGCGGGGTGTCCTGAGATTTTACCGCACAACGCCGGGCACCATCACTATTCGGAGTACCTAACGACTTGATATTTTAGTGTGCGAACCGAAAAACACTAGGCACTTTTCAACCGGCACTAGAACCGGCACTCGGGGGTCCCCATCTGTTCTGGGTTGTTAAATGAATCTTTAAACGGTTTCACGTCTCGATCGCATTTCCAACAATCGGAGGTCATCACATATCAACAGTTCATTGAAAGAGCATCACCTAACGTCAGTTAGCTGTTGCTGGGCGGTTCAGTTGGTGGCCTCTTGAATCCTTCGAACCCTTGTGTTTGTTGGGATGGAGAATACTAAGCGGCTTTCACGCAATGGATTTGAGTGAAGGCAAGAACCGCCAGAGGAGAGGTGAAAAATACTGCTGCGCTAGCCCGATTGGTGTGTCCAGCATTGATGCCGACTGCAACAGCATTGATGCCGACTGCAACATTACCAGAAAGATATGTGAGGATGTCGCTATGTGCTGCTCGGGACATCGTAGAAAACCACAACTTTGGCTGACGCTATGGATCCCTTGCCAATCTATCTTACACTCTTTTCTTAGAGATGGATTCGTTAGGTCATACATGCATTGAAAAAAATAAAACATGGCAAGGACCAATGGCAAAATGGCAAGAATCGTAAAAGGGCATGAAAAAAAAAATAGAGCCGTGTGCCGCTGCAGGCGGAGCAAAAAATCCATGAAAGACCACAGCTTCAACAGCAGCTGACGCGTGATCTTGTTGCGGGAAGCAACACCAAACGTTGGGCTAGAGCTTGTCTGCTCGAACCTGGGCGTCAAGTGTGAATACAGCCTTCCCTGTGTCAAGCACCTTGACGATCGTATCTCTGGTGGTTGTGCCGTTGCAGGGGTAGACCAAGAACGAGTCATCTACGAATGAGCAAGTACGTGCACCAGTACAGGCCCAAGAATTCGTGATGCTGTGCCAAGGTATTTTCTACTTCGTATTAACTCGTTTTCCCTATATGAGCTACCCACGGAGACGCTGCGGTCAGGCCGCTGCTATGTAGTGTAGGCGCCCGGGGAGAAGAAGAGAGGACGGGGGCTTTGACGGTAGTTTCTCTCGTACAATGGTGTGAGCGACGAACGGAAGCACACATGATGGGACGGACTCATGTGTGCTTCCCTTCGCCGCTCACACCAATTGGACACAGAAGAAGCATGTGGACTGCTGTCTCCTGTGCGCATCGAACATTGAACGAACGCTGTACACAAGACAGGCAGGAGGGAGGCTTGGGACAGACGAGGAGCGCATGCGGTAGGAAGAATCACAGCACCATTGCGACCTACACACGGGCGCATGGTCTCGTTGAGGCGTACCCACGGTAAGAATCACAGCAACCCAGGGCACACGCGATCAAGCGAGCCTCTCAACAAACAGCTGCCCTCACCTGGGTGCCACGAAGGCTTGGGCTCCGGCCACGCAGGCAGCGGCTACAACGCAGGACTTCATCTTGATGTGAGGTGGTGGTGCGGGAAGAGAAGCGTGTTGAATGTTGAGAGATGAGGTGGGCAGAATACAGAGAGTGAGCGTAGGTGGCGGGGTCGTGGGCGGCCAAGTTGAGAGCAGACGCAATGGTTGAGAGATCTTCGAGCCCGATGACATCAACCAAAGCTCGCCCAATCACAGGCCACGGGACTGTTTTCACGAACGCACTGCTGAATGTTTTTTTTTTTTTCGACGTCATGTAGAAGAATCTTGCGCGACGCCGGACCAACTAAAGCGGTTGTTGAGATCTTGTCGGCGTGTGTTTCTTGCGGAGAGCCAGGGTGACAGCAATGTTGTTACGCCAGGCAATCTGAGATTCGAAGCAGTTGGGTATATCTCTCTTTATCCTCACCAGCTTCGGAGCTGTGTCCACGTCATCACGCGTCACACGGATCCCGGGTGTTGGTTCGTCCGGTTCCTCGTTGTATGCTGGGGCGATTATCGACGGGCGCTTGCATCGCCTCCTACAGCAGTACCCCCCACTCTCTACAGCAGTATCTCTCGCTCTGATTTCTTCAGAGAGCTACCGGTGTAGGATCATATGAGCTGCTGAATACCATTCCTTTTGCTCTCAGCAGGTTTACCCGCGGTAGACTGCTGTAACATGTACTCTGCTGTAGGATGTTGACCAATGTAACAAGTAGTCTAAACCTTCAGCACATTGCCGTTTCCCACGGGCTGGCACCCTGGCACCATCGGTTTCACTCGAGGGTTCTCCATCATCTGGAGGGAGTACAAACGAAACAGGTCGCACCCAAGGCACACACACGCCGCCTGTAGTAACAACTGTCTGTGCTGTGAGATCGATTGATACTTGAAGAAACAGCGGTTCCCTCAGATCGTGGCATCTGCGCGTTGACATCTATATATCTAGGATGCAGAAAAATGAAGTTCAGCAATGTTCCCCTTCGGTGGGTGGATACGGCCCACGCACGATGTCTGCATCGCAGCTCTATTTGTTGTAACAGTGCATGGTACAGCAAAAAATAAAAGAGGTGCGTGTGTAGTGCTGTACCGGTAAATCCCGTGCAGACAAGAGACGTCAACTTTCGGGTGAAGGAATTGTGTGTTGTCATCGTTGCCGCGGTCCGTCGGGCATTGATGTCGCCTAGAGGTGCTGTGCTTCCTTACACAGTAGTCTCAACTTCTTTCTTTCGACGGGAATCCGAGCCGATTGCCAAAACTTGGGTTGTTGGTACGTACTTGTAGTCTAGACGATATTGCTTTCAGTGTTCATGTGCAGCTTCGCATCCTCTGAATCGAGTATCATAGCAGCATCAAGTCTGCCCGCGATTGATTATACGTGTAACCTCCATCATCTGTGGGTCAAGCTTTCTGCCCTCGAAAATATCGGGGAAGATCATTTCCTTTCGTTTTGCGCTGCGCGTCCAACCACGAGGGACGGGAGTCGGCTCGTACTGGAAACGTCGATGACATCAACAAGACGAGGTGAGAGAGGGGATGTAAACGGCTGCATACGAGACGCACACAGCCGCTGCAGGTCTGTTGAGCTGTCTATCCCTGCGGTCTTCGTTCATACGGTTAGCAAATGCGTGCGAAAGCGCGGAACAGCGCTCACCATCGGCCTCCTACCGTACGGTAACTTTCGATGTGGTGAGTACGCGTTAGGGAGGGGCCTGCTAACCTGCTAAACCGTCCTGGCGCGAAAACTGAAACCAACCACCTATTAGTCGGAGTTCTTCACAAGAGGAGGCAACACCACCCAGTATCAAGACAAACTTATACCAGCGATGATGGCAGTAGTTCGTGGTACCACCATGCTTGCTTACTGCCGAGACCGGCTCGTTCCAGGACCACTCCCTATGTCTATGCCTATCTAGTAGCCGAAGACCCTCAGGTGTACTCTGTCCTCGTGCGCGGGTCCCGTGAGCAGCGTAAACCTGCCCTTCGTGCCCAGCACTTGGTCGTCCTCCCACTCTCCTGTTCATGAGTGCGGCAATCATTTCACGAACAGCGGGGGTCGACAGTGGGTTGGGTGGCGGGCAGCAGCAGGTTGGACAACCTGCGACGAGACTGTAAGGTGGCATGTAAATAGCACGAACCGATTGGTGCTCGTATTTAATGCACACGTTTTCCCTCCCGACGTCCTCAAACGTAGCCCGTGCACCACATTATAAACTGCCTGTGCTGCGCGATTCAACATGAACCGGCAGGGCCCTCTTGGAGACAATGTCAACCCATTTCCGGAGAACCGCATAATCCTTGTTGTGGGTTGAGTGCTCTCTTTCGTAACAGCAGCCACCCAGGGATCCGGAAACGCAGTCAAGTTTGCCACGATGGAAGTCGAATGGCCGCGTTCAGTCTTCATACCTCGAACGTGAGTTTTGCCAAAGTTTGCACCTTCGATGTGATTTTCCTCAAAACCAATCAAGAAGCGGTCGATGCCGCTGTATAGCTATGATCGGGGACTCTTGATATTCGACGATAAAACGTCTTTCCGTGGGGGAACAACAACAACTGGTTGGTTGGCTTCTCTTTCGATTCGTTCCTACACCTTCGTAACAGCTGCCGTCCAGGGCGGTAACGGTCCCCGGACCGGTCTTCTTGTCCCGACTGAAACGACCCCTGAAAATGCTGCCATCCGCATGCAAAAGGGTCCCTTCGCCGTGCCTCATGTTGGCAACCCACCTGGTCGGTGGGAGCAAGAGACCGAACAACGCATGCTTGTGTGATGCTCGTCGTTATCGTCGCTGTTGTTGTTGTTTTTGCTGTTGCTGTTTGGCTGGTGTAGTTAATAACAGAGACTCCTCTTCGTCCACGCCAATATGAAAGGCGGGAAAGGCGGGAATAGTCGGACGTTGGGAAGCTGGGATCCTTTTTATAGGTGACCTCCACAAGTTGCTGTTTTCGTGGTTGCGGCGGCTGCTGCTGCTGCTGCTGCTGCCACATTGAAACCCGTGCTGACCTATGTCCAAAGTGTCATCTCCTCGTCTGTACTGCTCAAGGCAAAGCAAGGCGTCTGTGGTCAGTACGAGCCCAACCCGCACACCTGGGGCGATAGAAAACTGAATAATTTTTCAAGTCTCATCATAGCGAAAAAGTAGCAAATGCAGGCCCCCGGAAAATCCAGAACGACGACAAGCAGCGTAGTGCGGAGAAGCCACGAAGGGAACTCGCAGAGCCCCGTGCTCGTGAAGAGAGACTAGACTGACAAGGAACTGGATGTAATAAGCATGATTACAATGTCATAGAGTTTGTTCGTCGGGAAGTCACTTCCTGCTACAGACTATTGTTGTTGCTTCATGATGATTTGAACCGTTTCGTCTCATCTTCTTCTGCCTTCTTCTGTGTTTGCCTACAACTCAAAAGTACCGCTATCGTTGTGGAGGGAACCGCGTGTTCACATGTTGCGTGAGAAACAAAAAAAAACACAGCAAAATCGTTGTGGCCATACTCCCCGTCCAGATACCCAACTCGATCCGTTGTTGTTGAAGCTTACGCTGTTGTACATTCAACCCGTTTTGTACTCACGTCCCCTGGTACTGAGACCCGTCCGCCCACACCATGCAGCCGGTCCCGTGCTTCCGCTCTCGGTGAAACTGCCCCTTGTAAAACGAGTCGTCCGCGAAGCGGAGGAGACCATGGCCGTGCCTCAGGCCGTCCTCCCACTCGCCGTCGTATACCTATTAGTTGTTGTGCCATTTCATACGCCGAGCGGGAGATAAAAATGCACAACGTGATTATCGTGCTTCGGAATACTTTATGTGGACATGATGAAACGAGTAAAAAAATGCCAGTTTTGTCGTGTTTCAATGCCACAAGGTGCGACAATCATTTCGGTAATCACGTTTTGTAGAATAGGGTTTTTCGCAACCCACACAAACAGGAGGCAAATGTGGAATTTGTTCTACAAATTTGCCCATGCCTTTCGTTTCCCCGTGCGAGACCACGGCGTGAATGACCATGAGTGCACGCTCTGTGTGTGTGTGTGTGTGTCTCTCTCTCTCTCTCTCTCTCTCTCTCTCTCTCTCTCTCTCTCTCTCTCTCTCTCTCTCTCTCTCTCTCTCTCTCTCTCTCTCTCTCCCTATCTATCTATCTCTCTCTCTCTCTCTCCCTATCTATCTATCTATCTCTCTCCCTCTCTATCTCTCTCTCTCTCTATCTATCTATCTATCTATCTTACCAACCCATCCCCCTTTCGGTACACGTAGACGCCGTTGCCATGCTTGATCCCTCTCACGAAATCTCCGTCGTAAACCTCCTCCAAGATGGAACCAGGGCAGATCGTGAGCCGCCCCCGGCCGTGAATCTCGTCCTCGAAAAACTCGCCGTGGTACACGTTTTCGTCGACGTACCTGCATGTATCGTGTTTGATGCACACAAACACAACATATCTCGTGTTGATTTGTTAGGGTCGTTATCTTTGCTTGCAGGGAGGACGGGGACGGGCACACTGAAAAATGTCCAACATTGAAAACAAAAAAACTACGTTAACACAGCGACAACAGGGAAGCAACATCAAGGGCCGAAACAACAACAACAACAAACCATCAGCGATATCGATGGCATCAACAATGAGCCCAAGCAGCATCGCTCACCAGAACGTCCCCAAGCCGTGCTTCCGGTTGTCCTTCCAGTACCCCCGGTAGCGGTGCCCCGCGACCTCGTACTTGATCTCCCCGAACCCGGAGATCACGCCCCAGCAGAACTCGCCGGTGTAGCTGCGGATTTATCATTGTCATGGTCGTCGTCAGCAGGGGCTTAAATCAAGAACTGTGTGCACGCGCCATCACCAAGTAGGCTATACTGTAGGACTGAAAAACGTGTGAGCCCCCTTTGCGTGGGGGAAGAACCCCCTCAGAGCCTTCTCGTACATTTTTTCACGGGCTCGTTTCTTTGCGGGAGTTTCTATTTGTTTTCTTTTTGTTTTTTCCCCTCTGGTATCCGGGTAAGAAACTGTTCTGAGGTTGCAGGCAGGCGTGCGTGTCGTGGAGGAAAGGCGCGGATCAAGCCAAAATGCTCCCCATGATAAATATTCTTCTGTGACGTTTTGGGTGTAGGCGGATCGACCGCAGCGAGACCACCCCACACATTGTTTTGGCTTCGTCCGGGTGATGGTACGGTGCGGTCGCCGGCGGGCACCTACGTCGGTAACAGCTGCATTCGGTGCCAGCGTGATCCAAAACCGCCTCACAAAGAAGTATAATTACAAGGAGGGACGGTGGAAGCAGAAACAAAAACGAGCAGCTGGTACGACGTTGCTCTTGATGTTGTTTGCTGCTGCTTCTGTTGTTGATGGTATTGTTTGAGAACACGGTTGATGTCGTGTTGCAGTTGCTGCTGCTGCTGTTGCCGTCGTCGTTGTCGCTGCTGTACCTGTCGCCGTTTGCCCAGACGTAAACCCCGTTGCCGTGTTTCCGGCTGGCCTTAAACTCTCCGCGATACTTGTCCCCCTGCGCGTAGTCGAACACGCCTTTCCCCTCTATGGCTCCCGCTTTCCAGTAGCCCTGTGATAATATAGTTGTTGTCAGTGGTCGCGGTGGTCGTGATGGCGGTGGTGGCGGTGGTAGAAGAAACTGCCATGGCGACAGGTTATCTTGGATCCCCAAATGTGCTATTTGATCAACCACACCCTCTCTCCCGCATGCCTTCCGTTCCCAAATTTCCCGCCCTCTGCTGGTCGGGGAGGGGGTAGTGCACCTCTGGGTGCCGTGTTGTGCGGCTGATCTTCGTCACCAAATGAAACATGAAGACCCCTTGAGTGCTAAAGACAGGTACGACACCGACATCTCAACTTGCCGAATTTTCTCGCATCTTGCATGTGTCGGCCATCACGTGTACACACACGACAGGAACTCGTGGGACCTTCTCGATTTCCCCCCCCCCGCTCGCCGCTCTTCGGGAAATACTCGATCACTACATTGGAAGGCTGAAAAAACGCTATTCTCCCATCTCTCCCTGTTGATGGCCCGCCGCCCTCTCGACGCAACAGCACCCCTCCCCGTCACCGCGCGCCGTGTCTCGGACACGCCAGGAAAACGTTACCTCAGCAGGAGTAGTGCCGCCACCGCTTCTCGAACATGCGAGAAAACTTTGCCTGCCTCAACAGCGCAGTAGCAAGGTCTGTTAATAAACTCCTCCCCCGTAACACAACACATGACAGCAGTGGCGATGCACACACCTCGTATCTGCTGCCGTTCTCCCATCGCAGACGCCCCTTCCCGTGGCGGCGGTCGGCCTCCCAGCCCCCGACGTAGCAGTCCCCCGCGCCGTTGCCCGAAGAGGCGGTGCGGTAGACCCCCTGCCCGCACGCCCGGTCCCGTCGGAAATCTCCGTCGTAGACGTCTCCGTTCGCGAAGATGTACCTTCGTTCGTGCGTTCGTGTTTCCAGGGTTGTGTGCGGGCGTCATCGGGGGGGGGGGGGGGGGGGGGGGGGGGGATGAGAATACTTGTTGCACGATGCAGACTAAGCGAGATACTAAAGCAATATAGGCGTTCCGCCTCCTTT